TGTTTTCTTTGGTTAAGAATCAGCTGAAGTAAAAACAAAAATTCAAAAATTGTTCTCATTTTAAAATTGATTGGAAAGTGACTGAATTTTAAGAATTAAAAAAATTCTTTATCAGACATATATTTCACAAATATATTGTGTTACCTTTTTAGTTTAAGTGTCCTGAAAAGCCCAAGGTTTAAATTCTGATAAGAACAATTAATCAAATGCTTTCAATAATTTGTACGGTAGTTAAGAAATCTTTGCCACATTCAAGATCTCAGATTTTATTTTCTTACACAAATTTTAGTTTTTACTCTTGATTTAGGTCTATGATTCATTTTGGGTAATTTTTGTATATGATGCAAGATTTTTTTTTCTTTTGCAAATGGCTCTTCGAGTGCCCTAGTACCACATGATGAATAGATTATTCTTTTTCCCTGAAAGTGCCTTGGCATCTCTTTCGAAAATCAGTTGATACTACCTTTGGACTTTCCCTTCTGTTCCACTGATGTATGTCTATATTTATGCCAATACTTGATAATAAATTCAAGTCATCATCATTCGTTGTCCGATTACAATTAAGCCTCTTGTTTTTCCCTTCAGTTTAGTCACCCTTCCAAACACTTTCCACATCAGAGACAAAGTAATTTTTCTGAAGGGCAAATCAGATTCTGTCACAAGATAAAATCAAAACTCTAAAACCTCGTCTTCCATGTTCTAGTTCTATTTCCTATTTTCACCTCTCCTTCATCCAAATTTAATGCTACAACACTGTTCTCTCTCACCCTGGGTGTTTGCATTCGCCGCATGCTTTATCTCCGATGCCCTCACCTTTTCTCTCCCACCTTTGCCTGGCGAATACTCATTCTTCCCCTGGAATTCTTCCCAGACTCCCTTAGACAGCCTTGGTGGTTCCTGCCTTGGTGCTTGCCTGGCACTCTGCCATCACCCCAGGACACCACCGTACACAATCACCCGTTTGTCTTCCCTGCCAGATGATAAGCTCCTTGGGACCCAGCAGGCGGTCAGTATTTGAATGAATATACAGTTGAACAAGACAGGTTCTTGCTCTTCAGAAGCTCCCGACATGGTGTGGCACGCAGAGCGCTGTGTCACTCCCCACCCCACACCTCCAGTGCTTTCCAGGTCTGTTGTTTCTGCTGGTTTATTATCACGGCGTTTCCCAGATAACCTTTGTGTACTGATCCCTGTATTTAATTAAACCACTTGGAGGAATCACCTGAGGCCTAAAAAGAGAATAGCTTTCTTCAGAGAGGAATTGCAGTTGCTTCTGATCATCTCCTGAGAACATGGCCAGTCAGGGATCTCATGTTAATCTAGGTCCACAGCTTGGCATTCCCCAAAGCACTCCAGGGTGCAAGTCTGAATCAGGGCTGTTTCCTCAGGTGACCTTTACTCTGGGAATGGAGCTCCACTGGGTCCTGGTTTTAAGTTACTTTTGATGGGTGGGATGTTGGCGCAGTGGCTCAGACTCATTTGGGGCATATCCTGGGCTTTGATTCCTGGGCAACCTTCCCTGCGATACTGCCCACACAGTGGCTCAGTTTCATAATTCCCTCCCAACTGACAGATGCCCTGAGGACAACGGGAGCTCACTGCTAGGCTCATCTCTCCGTTCAGCGGAAACTATGAAAGATCAATTTCAATGCTGCCCTGACTCACAAAGCCCTACATCATTTGGCCTTTGGCTCCTGCTTCCCCATTGGCTCTCTGAACCAGCCGCGTCATCCTGTCCTCGGGCTTTTGGACTCGTGATCTTTGTACTTGCCTAGAACCCATCCACAAAGTTTGTATTTCTCAAGGCATAGCAATACTATTTGCAAACAACTTGTTCCCCTGATTATCAGAAACTGCCACTTATCGGAACCTGTTCAGGCTCATCACTTTGTATGCTGTATCATTTATCTACTTCATAGCTCCCTGATTACATAGGCCCTTTGAAGATACATGCTGTCGCTTATCTGCCATCCTTGTTGGTACAGCAGAGGTCATCACTAAGTATCTGCTTAAATGCCCGGTTTTAACCTTAATGAGTGTTAGGTTTACCCTTATGATCTCAGGGCTCCTCAGATGTATTAAGTTTTAAACAATTACATTTTTAATTCGTGAATATATTCAAGACAATTTACCTCAGAGAAAAGGCAAGGATATGAGAAACACCCTTTTATATAAAAGAAGGCAAAACCAATTAAGAATGACTAATGATTTACTTAAAAGTAATTCTGTCAAACTCTCTGGGATGGGAAGGATAGGGTGTTCTGCTATAACGTTTCACACAGATGGTGGTTGGGTTTGCTAGTGCCTGAGTAAGGTTCTTTGAAAAAGCTAGGATAAAAATACAAGTACAATCAGGTGAATTCAACTAAAATTTACTAAGAGCTTCTGTGATAGGTGCTGTGTGCCACTGCTGTGTACACAAACACAACTGAGACACTGTCCCAGTGTGAAGAGCTCAGGATAGAAGACTGGGACGGGGTAAAGAGGGAAGGGCAAAGATGATAAACTTGTAACTACATCTGAACTGCACCTTTTGGGGAGAAAAGCAGGTAACGAACATTCGAGGAACAGAGAAGAACATTAGCAAAGCACAGGGAGTTTTGTCTGGCTGTTGCGTGTGGGACGAGGTGTGCAGAGGGCTGAAGAGCAGCAGGGGTCCATCAGGACCAGGCAGTGAAAAGGCCGAGGGCAAAGGGGCTGGAGAAGAGGAAGAAACGTCAGAGATGTTCTAAAGATGGGCTCTACAGAACTTGATGAAAAATGTCAGCGAGGACTCGTGAGCAGTGTTAGAGTCTTCACTTGGGTAACGAGGTTAGATAGGAATATGCCATTAATTATGACAAGAAAGTATGAGAGAGAGAAATAGGCTTTTGGGGGGGTGAGAGTGGAGATAAGAAATTTTTAATGCTAAGTTGGACACCTTTTCTGCAGGATATAGCCATTCACACTAGGGTCTTACTTGATAATATACACCCACCCGCATTAGTTCCCTGAAGATCACGTACATGTATAAGAAAGTATTTTCCACCTTACTTTCTTATTTCAACTTTCCTTATTTGACCCTTCAAATCAGTTCATGTTTGATTTTGCTATGTGCCACGTTAGTGTGAAAAGTACTAAGGAATATACAGAGGATTTCAACAAAACACTTCTCCCTAGTAGCTTGAGCTAGTGGAGAAAAGTCATACCTTCCGTGAGAGGCAGAAATTATTTTAAGGATTACAATAAAGGGAGGGAGTGCCATCAAAGTATAAAGAAAGGTGGATCTTGCATTTACCTAACCAGCTACTAACCTAGTAGTTTGGGGCTGCAGAAGCGGCTCGTGGCGGGGTCAGGCGGTCCCGGGGAGGGAGACCCCCTGGGAGAGAGCCTAGAACGCCAGCAGAGCACGCTGAACCCCTTCCTGCCGGGAACAGCTGGGATGTGGGAAAGGCCCCTCTTCTGCTTATTTCCTTCTCTTCTCATCACTTGAGGAGTCATACTCATTCAAGTAAGTTAGTTGATCTGTTTGCATACTCGGGAAAGCGCCTGGAAGTTCTTTACAGGATGTTCTTATTCATCGCGCAACTTGAAGTTCAGCAACACCAGACTCACAGTAACTCTAAGCAAGCACCCAGGTCTCAGTTTCCATCTTTTCTGAAAACACCCAGTCTTTTAAACAGGACTTAATTAATTAAAGCATGAAAAATTACTAAAATGCACTAGGCTGCGCTGCTAAGCAAAGATGATCTTCAAATAAATAAACGAATGGCTTTAGTGACTATCTTCATTCTGCTGCACTCATTTTGGAAATGGACATGTTACTATTTCCATAATCCTTTAAAGATCACAGTCTTCTGTAAAGATATATAAATTTTTACAATATAAACTACAAAAACGTTTAACATCTATCCAACTTAGTATTCAAGTCTACAGGAAAAAAAATCAATGACAACTGCTTTATTATTAAAAGTTACTGAATTCCATAGAGCACACAATGTAATTCATATTCAACTAACAAAAGTTTGATACATGTATTTAAAAATATATAATATAGATTTATCTGTCAACATTTATATACTATTTAAAAAGCAGTAGCTTTACACATTTTACAACTTGATTTTATAAAATATATACATCCACCCTATGCAAATCTTCAAGCAAATCTTCAAGCATGAGCTTCCATTCCTATTAATAAAATGCACAATCTGTATTTCCAAATATTGAGAGAAAAATGGTACCAACTAAAAATAACAAATCCATTGTGACTTCAACATGCATCTAATTCTTGGCTACTAGATAACTGACCTAATTATCTATTCAAATAATTATTTTACCTTGAGACTGACAACTAAATTGTATTATGTATTATGTGAACAACCTGTAGTTAACTATGAAGAGGCTTGCATTCTGACACAATCTATGAAATTCCTTATTCGTCATCAGGGTTTTAAATTAGAGAGGCAGGATTTCTCAATTATCTGCTGTACCAGGAAATCGGACAGGTGAAGTCACACCTAACAAGCCAAAGCCGGTGAGCTTTGAAACCATGCCTTTTTGCCTTTGAGGGGCAAACTTTTTTCAAAACACTGACAGTGTATGTGCCAAGAAATAGAACAAGAACAGTGTCTCCTTTCCCCAGTCGACTGCACTCAACTTGCAAAATTCTAGTTCTCTAAGTATATGAAAGATACATTGGCTTCTATTCAGACTTTTCTTCCACATATTCAAAATGGCTTTCAGATATTACACTGTTGTAGTAACGGAAAATTTTCATAAAAAAAGATTCTCATGTAATAATGTTGGAGATTCATCCCCAATTATAAGTCCCAATACTAACACCTGAAAATTAAAATCACAATAAACACCTCAATTAGCAGGACCACAGTCAAAAGCAGAACTTCAACTTGAAGACAGAGATCTAAGTCTGAAGTACATGTCTAGATTTCATGGGCCTCTACTGATAATGATGCACATCACCCTGACTTTAAATTAATGCACAATTTATGCTGAGAAAGCAGAAGTCTCCCACAAATTATTATTAAAAAAAAATAGTTCCAAATCTCAAACTAGCTTAGAAACTTACATGGAAAAAAAAAAAAAACAAACAAAAAACTCCACTTTCACCAAAACAAGTAATTGAATTCATCTGGGCAATAATTAGGCTTGGGAGAGTCACAGAAGTAACAAAAGGCCTAAAAGTAAACAAAATCCTCTCAATATCAGTATTTTAAGAACTAAATTACAGCTAACAACAGCTTATTTATCAAGTAGTCAATTATTCAACAAATTTAGCCATTTACTGATGGACTAAATTAGGTATCAGAAATTCTTTATTTGTAGGATGGAATCTTTTTATTTAAAAAATTTTTCTGACATAATTTTAATAATCCTTCTCTGGATTCCCTAAACTCAAGAAAGAGAAAGGGATGGGAAAGGGAAGAAAGGGAAGAGGGGAGAAAAACCCGTGAGTCAGAAGATTGACATACTGGGTATCTGTGAGGAGACAGGAAGGAAGAAAAATAAGGGAGAGAAAAAAACAAAAACAAACAAAAGACTGCAAAGAGGATTAGGGCCAGTTGGCACAGATTAAAAGACACCTTCCTCACAGATCTTAATCAAGCAAAGGCATTAGCGTAACAGAACAGTGCTGTAGCTGATTCTGACAGCAATGACTCCTCAGATCTTTTTGAAAATCAACTTATATACACAATTAGAAATCTTAAGTATTTAGCTAAAATATGTACAAAAAAAACTAAATAAAAGTGAGATCAAGAAATATAAGCAGCAAAGTAACCATAAAGGCTTAGAACTAGTGACACTGAATTCTTTATTTAAAAAAAAATTTTTTTAAACACACAGGACCTCCTCTTCTATTTTTAGGAAGAAGCTTTAACAAGTTTTAAATATCTCAATTCTCAAAAACAATAGGCTTTTAAAAAAATAAGACTTGATTACCAAAAACAAGTAATATGTGGTTACATACCATTTTCGTATCATTACTCATATCCATTATTTGTCAATTCACTTGATGCAATCTGGGAACAATTAAGCAGTCACTAGATATCTGTTTTAGAATCTGAAGAAGTTATTATCCACCATGGGAATCTAATGACATATATTTTTGCAAATAGTTAAAGTTTCAGAAGGGAAAAATAATAAACTATCCTAGTTACTTTATACCAAAAATTTAATTTATATACCTAGTCAAAACAATAAGAATTAAGATCTTTCTCCAGATGAACTGTATATAAAAGCTATTTTTACCATTTTCTTCTGGGGATTTAAAAAAGCCTCATTTCCCTGCTAGCTAAAAAGGAGGAATTTGTATATTACAAGTAAGTCCCTTTAGAGATGAATATTAAATTCCTTAAGATCTTAACAGCCATAAAATTTATTTTTAAAAATTTACCTTAAAAAAACTGAAAACCATTTCTCTCTTTAAAATCTATGGCATTAATTACTACTTGACATAATTTTTTTTTGAAAGGGCAGCAAGTTCATGATCTAATAAGCATGCAAAATAAGGAACTGAATGTATCGCTGCTTGTACAGAATTTGGCAAACCAGAAGAATGGCCTTAAAATAAATAAATAAATAAATAAAAAAGAAAAGAATACATATTGTCTAAATACGAAGGTATAATTCTGTAGGCCTATGTGGCAGACAGGGACCCATGGAGGGACTGCAGGGAAGAGGGAAGTAGCATGTTCCTATGTACACTTTCTTGCTACTCTGGTTGTCATTCAACAACATGCTACAGAGAAATAGTCTTTTTATTATTACAAAGCCATTAACTGCCCTCACTAGAGCAATGACTCAGGTAAACATCTTATGTCTTTTAATAATGTAACTTACATTTAAAATTAACTTAATTAAATCTAAGTGCACAGGCATTTTCAATGACTCCTAAGTTCAAGGAAGTAACACATAAGGTGTTATCTGATTGCAAATTCTGAATGGTTGGTGCTTCTATATTTTAGGATATTTCATCCCATTTTCTTCTCCTTTAACCATAAAATGTACCAAAATTATTTGGTTTTCCTTTACTTTCCTCTGCGTCATTTTAATTTATTGTATGGTATCTCTATGTAGAGAGAGGTATGTTAAAATACTATTATTCATATTAAAAAATTCATTGAGGCTATATATGATCTATTAATCTATACTATAGCATTGTTAATCTTTGACCTGGTATATTATTTCCTTTGGTGAATAAATGTCACAGGTCATTTCTTTATAAAAGGATTTTAGTAACAGGACCAGCAGTATGGGGGGAGATGCCCCACTCCCACCCCAGAAAATGATCAAGTCAATCAGTAGTTTAGAGCAGTTATGTAAAATATGAAAAATACATAATTTATAGCTGCAGTTTTCATATTAAAAAGCAGTTAAAAACTATAAGTAGTTTAAAGCACTCCAAAAAACATTTTCTGTCTTGGTTAAATTGGCCAACTAATAAGACTGAGAGAGATGAGAACCCATGTATGTCTAGTCAAGATAGAACAAAATGCTTTTGATTTTAAACAGTGGTAGCTGCTAACTAGCAGTATAAACAGTGTCCACAATTTGGTGGCTGGCCACAGTTTAAGATTTTTTTCAAGTTATTTCTACAGCAGACATATTTTTGAAGTCTACCCACCCCTGAGTTCAGCAGTTATACTTTGAGTGTAAAATTATATGCCCTTAATTAACAACATGTACAAAGCTACAAAATGTCATCTATACAGAGATTAAAAACAATTTTTAAAATATTCTCTGCCAATTACCGATTGGATGGTTTTGCTGGGGTACATATTTCAAACCTTTTAGCCAACTGGCTTTTACTTTTAAGCCCAAATTGCTTCATATATTCACTGTAGGATATGTCAAAAAGAGTGCAACAACAGGCATTAGTAAAAATAACATTGTAGTAGAAACAGACTTTGCATATGTGAAAAGGTAATTTATAAAATACATTAATCGCCTTTTAAAAAGAGAACCGAGTTGCAGTATTATTAACTTACATGGTACTGAGAATTGGACCTTTCAGCATTTTTTTCTATAGAAAATTTTTATCTAGCTGTAAGCAAACTCTTAAATAAAACAAAGCAAAACAAAACAAATCCCTCCAGAAAAAAAAAGTAAGTATGGTTGTGTGAGACAAATAAGCAAACATACCATTCTACAGTGTACTTCTGCCTAAATTTTAAAATAAAAATGTCCACACTCTTTTGTTAAAACATTAAGCCTCTGTCAAAAATGTATTTCTTATTTTAGGGTACAGGATTGAAGGACAAGATGATACTTACAAATAAAGAAAATTTACAAGAAAAAACTTGACAAAAGTTTTTCAATTAAAGTATTATAACATTCAAACTTGACTTAAAACATAACAAAAGAAATAAAATTGCAAACAAAAATGTTTATGGATTTTCCAAACATAAATAAACGAAATAGTGTTTAGGCAGTAGGGCTCATGCTGATGGCTAGCAGGAAGTAACAGAGTGTAATCTACTTGGAAAAAATCGTTAATGTACAAATAACAAGCCCAAATGAGGGACTGCAGCAGTTTAATCATCACTGCCATTCTTCTTACTTCCAAAATAAAGCCTTGATTAAACCATTCAAACCCTATATTACTCATACCTTTACTTCAGAGATTAAGGAACTATATACAACAAATGAATTTATTTTCACCATAGGGATAACATATTGTACCTCTCTGCCAATATTACTTGAAAACTGTCCATGTCAAAACAACTTGACAGCAGATATAAACAATTCAATAAATACGCAAGGATCTTTCATTACAGTCCTTTAAAGACGCATGTTAATTCATGCTGTTAACCTTAGGTTCACAGTGCATAGAATCCAAATATAAACAGTTGGGGTGACTTTCAAAGTAATGTTGAAATCCCTCACTTTATTTATAATCCCACTCAAACCGATAAGTTCATTTCATAGGCCCTATCATGCATTAATCATTGGGTGGCAGGAGTTAATGAAAATTTTTCCTTTTACAACGTCCATTGCCGGCAATGAACGTCCCAAAACCGCCAAGGAAGTCATTGTTATTGCACAATACATGAGGACCTGGAACTTTTCCAAAAGCTTAAAAAAATAAAAATAAAAAATGGAATTATATTTGACATTTCCTGACACCTGCATTAATACTGTATGACTAATAAAAGCATGTCAGTTGCCTGGACTGAACCAGCGATCAACATGCGCCCAGAATGCACACGAGTAAAAATGCAGTAAAAGGAAGTAGTCTTCATTGCCTATAGGTCACTTCCAGTCAAAGGTTAAAGTTCAAAGACTGAATGATCAAAGTGCTCATTTTCTCAGTAGGACTATCTTCTGCTAGGAGGATGATAACAGTGGCATCAACAAGTATCATCTTTAAGAAAAGGAGAAAAAAGATAATTAAAAAAGTCAAGCATGCATAAGGAAAATCTACAAGTTAGTCTAATACAGAAATAATTTTAAGTAGCAAGAAGAACATGGTTTACAATTCTGACTTGTCTCCCCAGATCCCTACAAATAAAAAATCCAATTTGTGTTCAAGTATATAGTAACAAACAAATCAAGTTCTATTCTTTCAGGGAAATGGTAGTTGATACAAATTTTAAAGTAATATTAGTAGTAGTATGTTAGTTCTGCTTAAAATAATAAATTTATATATGTTAGCATATATTCAGAATTTATCAGTCATAAGAGAATTATTTATGGGCAACAATTTAAAAATATAATGAGACAGAAAGTAAACTCATGACTAGCACTGCCATGCTAATTAATGCAGAATACAAGTCATGTCTTCAAGTCTTTGAAGGAAGTAACGCCATAAATGAGTACAATCTCTAAATCAATCAACAGTAAATATTAATCTCTCTTCAGAAAATAAAATTTTCAGCAAGTATACTACATACATATGCAAAGGAGGTCATTAAAAAATTCCACAGAAATGTAGTAACACCTTTTCATAGCCTCAACACATTCATGTAACATAATTTTGGGGGTTCATTAACTTTTTTTTTTAACAGAATTTATTTCACAAAACATATCTGAAGGATTTTGAGGATGGGTTATTCTTCAGAAAGAGTCTTTTGAAAGAAGCAAGATTAGTGGCAACTACCCAAAAGTTGTGAAAGCTTTCAAGGAGAAAATTCTGAAAAATTGGCCAAAATATTTTACACAAACTGTCCCATGTTAGGATCGATATATTGCTAATAAAATTCTCATTCATAATGACTCAATGAGAGCTAAAAAGCAGTAAATCTGACTTCCATGCTGGGTAAGTTAGTGGAACATTCCACAATACTGTACTTTAAAGGTAATCTAAAGAGTGAAACAGACTAAACTTAAAAAATAAATCCTATATAAATCATTAAAATCCTTTAAATAAATAAGAACATCTTTAAGAAGAGAACAAGTAAACAATTTACAGGCTCTAAGTGTCCCATTGAAGTATCTGTTTCTTAAATAATTGTGGCTCTTGGAATAAAGAGGATACATTTGTCACAGATCAGAATAAACTTAAGGATATGAAAAGTTCCCTTAAAACATCACTTCTCCAAGAGACTATTTTATAACACTATAGTCTTCGAAATTAATACTAAATCTAATCACATTTAAATCTCTAAGTTAAGAGATGGCACTGAACTCCACTTATTATGTCAAACTACTGGGGATAAACTTTAGTGTTGTATCACATGACAATGTATACAATAAGAGAAGTGACAGATAATATCCAACTTGAACATAATGTTATCTAGTTAACTATCAATAAGCTTTTATCTCCAAAGACATATCATCTTTGATAAGTGGTACCATAAATGTATCTCTATCAGGTTGTTTATTCTGCAAGGTTATCAATACAGGTATGAATGTGCTACCAACCACCAAAACGATTAGGGGATTCATGAGAAGCTATTCTTCCCATCCCAATCCCCACCTTGGGTCAGATGTTAAAAGAAATTTAGGTCTAATATACTACCTGCTCTGAATCCTCTATCTTTTGAGAAATACATAAGTTCTAAAGATGAATTTCAATTATCTCTGATAGCTGGACCCACAGGGAATGAAACATTACATATCCATAATGGCTATACATAATAAAGAATCTATGGGTCATAGTTCAGTATGGAGACAGGTATGAGCCAAACCCATAACCATCTTTTCCTAATAAGAAGGGCATCACTAAGAAGCAAAAAACACACTTGTTAGCAAAAGTAACACAGTTTCCTAGTTATAAAAAAAATTACTGGATACTAGGACTGGCTTCCAAAAAAAAAAAGTCATTAGAGTAAACCTATCTTGGATCAAGAAAAATATAGGTCTATAAAAGGTGGTGAAAGAACGCAATATATTTAACCTCTTGGCTAAAGTATTTGTGGCAAGATGATGACCTAAAAAAAAAATCTCATATTAACCACTTAAATTTTTTCTGGAACTGCAGAAGACCCTACTAAAATTATACCCTTAAATATAATATATAAATTACCAGTTCCAAAGAGGTGACATCTACCATGGCTAATTTCATGAGGCTTCTGGGAAATGTGAATGAGAGAGAACTGTATTAGAAGAAGGTCATTTAATTTTCCCCCAAAGTATAAGAACCATCAAATTATATTGGAAAGCATCTCCCTGGATATTCCCAGGGACAGAAGACTAGAAGAAAAGGAACACAGCAAGAGGTCAGGAGATATGAAGTAGGATGCTACCTTCAAGAAAGATACAAATAAATTTTTACAGTTAGGTTTGTGTCTCAACAGTTTAGGGAATTAAAATTTTCCTTTGATAAACCAATTCATGAAAGATTACATAGTAGAAACAGAATTGTTATCCTGCAGGAAATAAAGGGCAAGGACTGTAAAAGTGCAAGTTTGGACTCAGGAATTTAGAAGACGGTTTTGTAATCCTAAAAAGTAGTACAAAGAAAAAGGCTCACAATGTAGGTAAACCTATGGACAGTTATTAGGCAGGGAGAAAAGGAGTTTGTTAATAGGAGTCTGAAATAATTTGGTGTTCCTATCCATTTATAATCCTTGTAATTCTACAGGCTATGTTCACTAAATGGAACCAGAATGTGGTCTATAGTTTTGTAAAAAAAAGATATTCATCTACTTCTCCCAAAATTACAATCTCCTCAGTTTATTGGACATGATATCTAAACATTATGTCAATTTAGTTCCTGTAAGCCTAGTTTTCTGGAGCCAATACTTAATAGCTATCTTAAACTATATTGTTCAATTCTCTACCACCTTAAGGAAAATGCTTCAGGACCCACAGATCTGTACTCTCACCTGTGAAAAGCAATAGTTTATGAAACTAAGTTGTATATTGATCCCAGGAAACAGATGGATATTATTAATGGACTCTAGTTGGCTATCTCTTTGAAATATTTTTACAATCTCATAAAGATACTTTTTATATTTTTCAAGAAAAATTATGTCTACTTCATGATCCATAACTCTGAGCCTCAATCATTCATTAATTTGTGCACTGAACTGGATACAGATCTACTTTCTAAGGAAGATTCTAGCCCTGAATCATAGGTACATTCCTTGGCCCTTTCATATGCTGAGATGAGTTGTCTTATTCAAATACCTATTTTGGTTAGGTCTCTTTATTTTTTAACCCTATTCTCAGTTCAACTAATTTTTCAAACCATATGGACCCCCACCCTTAATTGACAACACAGAATATTTGCATTCCATTGCAGATATGCTCATAATTCCTTAGTGAATAGAAATGATAAAAGAGTTCTGGACAACAGGTTGATAGCCAACTTCAAGTGATTAACAACAAGGAACATGTATTCACATACCAGTGACTTTTTACACTTTAGTAAGAGATTGCGTGCTAGAGAGGAACCTCAAAAGAAACGCAGTATGAGGTGTGATGTATACAAAAACAGTAATAGGGTAGCAGTGACTGGCCTAATTCTCAAGGTATACTAATAATGTGTAAGGCAATTTTAAACTCAAAAAGAGAGGCCTTTTTTTCCCCCCAAGGACCCAACACTGGTATTTGGTAGCTCAATTTTGATGTGTCAGCTAAGTTCTCCTCTTCTAAAACCAGGAGATCAACCCAGCTTCTGATTTGTCATTAGTAGTGCCTCCATCCCTGCATCCTGGAAGCCCCCTCTGAAGTACACAGATATCACTAATCTACACCAAAACCTCTCTTGCCCCATTGATTATACCTGGCAAACATTCTGACCCATGCTGACCTAAGTTATGTTGGTTAGCACCACACAGAAGGGCTGTGGAGCTTGATACCCGAGGCCTACAATTTTGCTTGGTTTCTAGAAACAGAAGTGTCACGTGTTTCAGTGAGTTCTTCCAGCTGCAAGCAAGTCTTTGTTCAGCCTCTGACCTTTTTGTTTAGCTTTACAGGTCACATCAGGACCCTGACCTGACCTTGTAATCCTTTCAGAATTAGATGATGTTAAGAAAACACAAGAGTCCATACTTCTTGGTAACTGATATTACAAGGAGAACATAATCAGTGAGTATCTTTTGGAACTAAAGCAGATAAGCAGAAAAAACTTAAGCTAAAATTTCAAAAGCTCCAGAACAAAGCTGACATGATTCTGCTTTACAAGTATGGTTACCTTTTCGATAAGCTTTTCCAATTTCAACTATAATGCCAAGGTGGGCCATTTTTATGGCAGTTATATTCCTTATAACTGTTATTGTGAAACGTATAAAGGAGAAGGCAAAATATGCAACACAGCTGAAATGCTTTAGCTTTTTAAAGGAAAAGTTCAAGGAAGCGACCCTGTACCCAACTACCTGTCTGACAGAGCAGATGCTTTATCATCTCAAAGTATAACTAATATTAACCTTCCCTGATTTCAGATGAGGCTCACTCACAGAGCAAAACCGCCCATTTAAGGGAGAATGCAGGAGAAGAATGATTCAGGCATTCAGGGTTCAAGGAGGAGCAGAAAACATACCGCATAAGAATGTCACTGTAAGTCAATGAACTGAGGATGTTTTAGATGGAATTATCTGCATGTGAAAAAAAAAAAGTATCTGCACCTGGCAAAGGAAACTAAACAAGGATAGCTGTGATTTAGCTGAATTAGAATTAGGGGCTTTTTAAAACTGGCTAATTTGTATTGGGGGGGGGAGGATACTTTAAACCTGTTCATTGGGAAAATGAATTCCTACACAAACCCTGTACTGTTTAACACTAAGTAAGAGGTTAATTTAGTCTGAAAAGCCTCTTTTCTTTTTTTTTTTAAATTTTGTTTCAGTGATTTTTTTTTAATGGAGGTGCTGAGGATTGAACCCAGGATCTCTTGCACACTAAGCATGTGCTCTACCACTGAGCTATATCCTCCCCCCTTGCCCCCCAAGCCTCTTTTCTTAGTACTTCTTGGCTAACTTGGAGATGATCCATCTTCAAACTATAAAAAGGACTTTTCTATTTCAGTTATAAAAGTATGGATTTCTCAGTAACAGATAAAACTATTAACTCTATGAAAAATACTTTATTTTAAAGAATTTTTATATTCCTAGTTTTACTATGTATTATTTCCTCAATTTTTATTCAAAAGCAGGTAATAAATTCTAAAAGTATTCTTAAGTAAAGGACTTTTCATAATTCCTTTCAACTATATAAGGTGCCTTATCTTTTTGAAATTCCCCTACCAGAGACTAAGGAAGGGGAAAATGGGAATATACTGTCTAACAGTGGGGTGGGGTGGAGTGGCAGAGAGGATTGTACACTTTCAAAATAAACACATTTAAAAAATTTTTTGTCACTAAGATAATTTCTTCTGAAAGTTAGCCAAATAAGTGGTTTAAGAACACTGTGGAAAAGACAATGGAGGAATTTTTCTATTATTAGTGAGGTTGGGGCTGAAATAGAATGATTATGATCTTGGGTACTTTGACATTAAAAAAAATGTTTGACTTAGTTGTGTTTGTCAACATTTTTCATTGACTAATCTTAATTTCTGATGAAACTGAGAACTTATGCTGAGGTAAAGGGGCTGTGACACTCAAGGAATGTTTTTTTATTTTTGATAAGGTCCTTTTTAAAGGTAGAGAGGGAATGTGCTGAACACTGGAATTTGACACAACATTGTAAAATGATTATAAATCAATAAAAAAAAAAAGGGGTAGAGAGGGAAGAGACAGCATAGTGTGTAGTCCTAAAAGGCAAGAGGATGCAAAAGAATGAGAAGCCAGGAATATAAACTGAAGGGCCATTTAATAAAAGTAGCACCTTGTTTAGTTTTAGTGGACCTTCAGTGTTCACAAAGAATTCCCATCGGAAACCTGTCCTTTTATATCTAAGAATCCCTGAAACAGTAGTTATCAAGGGACTAGCTGTATCAGAACTATCTGGGGATAACTTAAAAAGTAAAACAAAACCAGCATTCTGGGCACAATAATAAAGTTTATTAGAGTCCTTAAAGGAAAGAGCAATCAGAAAGGCTTTGGTGAAAGAGTTCCCAAGAGAGTTCTACTATTACTCTTAAAAAAAAAAAAAAAAAAAAAAACTTAATTCAACCCACATGCAATATTTTCTATATGAAGTAAAAAGGTAAATTTTTCTTTCCCAAAATGGTTGCCAATTTTCTAACAGGATTACTTATTAAATAATTTCTCCCCTTCTCACTGATTTGTGACACAGATTTATCACATATTCAAATCTCATACACAAAAAGACCTAGAAAAGTGTAATTCTATTTCAGTGTCTATTCTTGCATTATTATCTTTTGGTGTTTGGTACACTTATTCTCCATTATCCTTCAATTCAAACTACTCCTCCCATTTTTTCCCTAAACTTTTCAAACACCCATTCATCATCACTCCACTGAATTTTTACTGAATTACATTAAACCTGTAATTTATAAAGAGTATACTTTTTTTTTAAATAATACTGGTTTCTCATAAAAGTATCTCTATTTTTTCAAAGCTCTTAAAAGTTTCATTATTTCTTCTTCTGGGTCATCTATATTTCTCATTAACATTACCCCAAATACTCATATTTCTGTGGCTTTCAGGAAAGGCATTCTTTTCTCACTGTGTTTTCCAACTTACAACTGCTGGTATAGAGGCAGTGGACTGATTCTAGTCATCTTTTATCTCAACACTTAAGAGAACTCTTAGAATTCAAGTTTTTAATGAACTCAAATTAATTGAGGTAACAGAAGGTTTCACACTGGATAGAAAGGTAAGGAGGAAAGGCTATATTCCTACTAAGTAGTTCTGTCAGTTCTAATTTCTCTTTAGAATAACATTTACGAAAAGGAAAACAAAAGAAATACTCATGTATATAAAAATCGCAGGGAGCAGTTTTTCTTCACTGACCTTCAGTGACCTTACATACTGAGGAATGTACACTTTTTGTTTTTAATTTCAAATACCCCTTTGGGGAAGCAGTAAGGTCAGTTTAGAAAAGATGCTGGCATCTTTCAATTATAAAGGTACAAGCACCCTCCCAACAAAAATAAGAGAACTTACAATATTGAGAATAATGTGTTCATAAAGCTACAACCAGCAGAACCTCAATCTTTTTTGAGGAATAACTATTAGAATAGTCAATGGGTCATCGCTGACAATGTGAAGCCCTACCCTAAGAACAGTGCCACAGCTAAATGAATACATAAGGCGTCATAACTTCTACTTCAAATAACAGGTTTCCCAATAGCTCGTTCTAGTTTGATCTAAAAATATTAAGGACTTTTATTTTGTAATAAAATGGTAGAACAAAATTTTAAAGCAATCTTAGATTTTACTTGCATGATGGTCATGATTGTATGTGCCCCATTAAAAATCTAGTCCAACTTATCTTAAAATGTCTTAAAAGATTTGTCTCCATATTATAAAAAATACAACATCAATTATATATTTCCTCTTTTTCCCAAGCAAGCAGATACATAATCTTTCAAATCAAAATACTAGAAAGTTATCATTCTAAAATAAAACTGCTTACCATGATACCACCATTTTGTTTTCTTTGGATTCTTGTTACATGTTCGAACATAAAAAGAATTATCTGGTGGTCGTCTCTGAAACCAAAAAGAGTTTAAATAGATAAGAAGTTGTAAAACAGAAAAACATAGGGGGGAAATATTTTAATAAAAGCTTTAGTAAAATTACTACAGAATACATAAAAAAAATTGTCATAATTGAAAGAATAATATATGCCAGGAAATGTAGACTCTTGACACTAAAATTGTTTAAAAAAAAAAATAGGGAGTGCTCATGTGTGGTTTGGGTTAGGTTCCAACAAGATCACTAGAGAATGACTATTAACCAAAAGTGGCAGCATTATGTTATAAAGAAATTTGGTTTCATTTATCTTATCTCCCTAGAAATAATTTAATAATTACTTTTGTGAGCTAATCAAAACAGATAAGTCTACCTAACTAGGTTTGTCTGAGAAACTCTAGCTTTCAAACTTCCACAGAAGATCACTGTTTTCCTATAAAATAGAATCAAGGACAGACCAAAGGATTCAGTTTCCTAACAGTATGTAAGAGCAAAAAGGGGGAAAAGCTACACTGGCATTTCTGCTACACATATGTCCCGACTAGCACAGTATTAGAAGCACATGGCAGCTCTATAAGGGAGTTACTTCAGTAATAGTGATGTCAGCAACACTGAAGATAGGTTATGGAAGAGAATCTTCTTGAAAACTGTTGGATGTTGATCGGACACAGGAAATACGTACATCTACAAACATCTGGAAACATGACAAATCTGTATTAAAGCCACTGAGGGCAGGTTAGTAGATAATATGATAGGCCCAACCAAAACACAGCGGTGAACATGACGACCTAGGCAGCAGGAAGGAGAACTGGCAGCCCACCTGGCACTTCTAAAACTCATATACGTAACTATGATCTAACCTTCACATAGTAAAGAAATCATGAAATTACATGCCTACTTCAAAGAACAGATGATCTGCTGCTGTTTGTCCTGCAAAGTCATAACCTGTGTTCATGCAGGATAAACTGTTACTACTGTAACAAATGATGTCATAAACTCAATTTATCTATTTACTAGAATCCAACATTTCAAAAAGAATGTAAGAAAGAAAAAAATAATACTCATTCTATTTGCTTATGTCAAGAATATAAGCAAACTGTTAAGTGATAAGGAGATACGGTTCTTAAAAAATAAAGTAACTATACAAAAAGATGGACCACCCAAATTGTTTTAGGAATGGAATACAAGCTGGAAAGTTTGGACTATCTCTATTACAAGGGCACTGAGAATAAAGGGTAGGTTACTGAAAGGCCCCTGGTCTCAATATTAGAAATTACCTTTAATCTGACATACTAACATGATGGAATTAAGTGCCTCCAGCTTAGGGAACCATTCTTGATTGTGAAAAAGGAAACAGAATGAAAGAATCATGACTAAGTAACGCCGATAGTAAAATTAAAATTTGTATTCAGAGAGTTGAATATTAAAGTGAAACTCACAGAACTATGTCTACCACAGAATAAAATTCACTTGTTTTAATACAAGAGATTTTGGCAAATATTTGAAAGACTTTTTAAAACTTATATGGAGCTAGATTCCCCTCCACGCCAAAGGAAGTTTTCCCTTCATCTTAGTAACCTAGTACTTAGCACAGTAACAATAGCACATAGTAGGTACATAATAATATCTGAATTTTACCTTATTTCACTAAACTAATGCTGCCAGAATTCTGACTTTCAGATTATCATTTTGGTTGAATTATAATTTACAGATTATCATATAATATTGCTTATCAATAATTTAAATAGAATGATTAGTCTTACATTAACTATGCAACTAACGCTAGCAGCAGACAACTAGAAGGTGAGGGGAATGATGAGGGTTAGAAAAGGTTGAAAGAGAGAACAAAATCATTTTCTAGTTTTTAATAGTAAACCATTACATTTAAATGTAAACAAAACTAATGATCATAAAGCACATGCAAGGGCCATGTGCAGGCACTACTGATGTTCATCTTAACTTCTCTTATTAAATCCTATAGTTACAGCCTCATCTTTCTGAAGATGTTAAACGTTAAGAGGGACACAGAAGCCCTCGTAACTGTAAACTACTCTGTTCCACACCTAAAAGTTTAAAACCTGTATGTGAGTTGGGAGTGGAGATGGAGAAACAGTAAAGTATGGAAGCAATAAATGAGTAAGACTTGTCTCCAAGCCCTTGGGGTTAACAAAAGCTCAAGTGTAGCCTAAAATCCAGCTTAGAAAAGCTAACGGCAAAGAGGAAAATCAAGTTAAAAGGTGATACTAACATTAGATAATACGTACCCTGTTTCATCTAAAACGTATGTTTTTTTTTTAACTATTTCTGAATGAGGATACGTGTCTTTCAACTAATGGTATATCATAGTTCAATTGCCAGAAGTTTCTTTTTTCTTCTTGTAGCACATAAAATTGTACATTAAGGACTCTTATGTCCCAATTTTTAAAATATATACAATTTAACCCATTGTTTCCCATTCTTATTTGAACAAAGAATTTTTTTTTTAACCTAACACCAAGAAACCTCTTATAGAACTAACATTCCAAGAAACTCACCTTGCAAACACTGGCTTAGAGTATTTCAAAAACTAGATAACCTACCATTTAAAAATGAAGTACTAACTTAGATGTTCTCTAAATATTAATTAAATAAAAAAAATAGTTCAATTTGGAGAATACAGGGGGAAAAAAAAACACTAAAATAAATAACCCCACAGCTCCCTATTCTCTAAGGCAAATTTGTTTCTCCTTTAAAAATAATAAAAAAGGACACCCTCCTGGAGAAGAGAGGCTTTAAAACATAGAAATACATGAATACTGAGCTACACTAACCCTCAAACAAGAATGAGAAGAGGGCCAGAAATGCAGAGAGGGTTTAGATAGTTTAAAAGGGTATTCTAAATTTAACTCATGATTTTTCTTTCTGGTCTTTCTCCCCTTTCTCCATCAGACACAGAATCTGAAGATCAGTAAAAGAGAGTAAGAGGAAAAGTCCTGACAATTCTACTGGTAATTTAGTCCTCCTCCTTCAAACTAGTCTCTGTGATAGGAAAGCTCTGGATCCTGGGACATTCCCTAAAAGAGGCTGATGGGGTGGGAGCCAGCAGAGGGGAGAAGGCAGCTACAATGCTTGTTCCCGGGGCTTTCCCATGTGAAATCTAGAAACAATAATTTCTTGCACACTTTTGTCCTGTGCATGCTTACGGAAATAAAATTCAGACTCTTTAAGAACATCTGCAGAAATTTCCTGTTTAAGAAATATAAAACAATGTCTGATTTCTATTATCAAATTATTTTCCAATCTGTTACTAAACATGACATTCCCTATAACTTCATAATAAAAAGCATTAAGTCCTTCCTTCAAATAAATTAAATATTAATATAGTTTCTGTACCTAAACTAAAAGAAGAGATATTACCTGGAATAATTCTGTAAAGTCCTACCTTTTCTTTGCAGCTGGAAAGCATGCTAATAATGCTAAGACAAACTGACTGGACTGAGAGCGCTGGGGACCAGTCTTCTGTTAGAATGGATAAACAGATATGACCATTGCTATAAACATGAGGATGAACGGGAATATTTTCACCAGTAAACATGACCTAAGAAAGAACAAAATTCCATTAACACTCAAATGTTCCGTTTACCCAAAAACATTCTCCATATAAGTTAATATTTTAAAAACCAAATTGAAAACAAACAAAATCAATGCCAGGAACAAGATAACTGCTTGTAGTTTATTCTCATCAACTCAGTAAGTACCAGTTTCACTGTACGAATACCATGTAGTAAAGGAAAACCCCAGATTATCTATTTTATATTCAGCTATTTTTCATAAATTTTCTTTAAAAAATTTCTAAATTATCATTTATTTTTAGACTAGTGAAAAACAAAAATGTTTTTTCAAATTTTACTCATTGTTCTCTGAATACAGAAATCAAATACACTAAAATTTCAAATGCAAATATTCAGTTTTAAGACAATATGAATTACGTGCGGTAGGAGCACCCCCTTCCACCTACAACAACATTATCACCTAAGGTGCTATCTGCAAAAGGAAATGGCTGCTGTATGTTCCACCTCACCTAAACTCATACTTGCATTATGGTGGGTACAAATTACTACTTATTTATCATCAAATATCTATGTGCCCAGATTAAAAAAAAAAAAGAAAAAAGTTTAGTGAGTCTCCCAATTACTTGCTGTTTTTCTCTGCTTTTTCTTTTACTCAATTCTTCTAATAGTTTTTCCCTTTCTCCATCTTGCCTCAGCACTGTTTTGAAAGGTAATATATCTATTATTTCCTTCCTTTGTCCTAATAATTCAATACCCTAATAGTACAGTTTCTTAAACATATCTACCTAAGCATCCGAATAGGTGGAAGAGTAAAGTCATATATCCTGAGGAAAACGTAAGCATAGCCCAAAGTAGGTCAGAGAGGAGAAGTCTTACCCTTAAGGCAGTTCATAATAAATCATTTCCTTTGATATAAAAATTAACCCATCAGTCCTTTAAGTGAACTTTACACTGCAGTAAGATGTACCTTTTTTATTCCATTGCTTAGTGGTAATTCCTATTTCCTGACCTGGCCTTCAAAAAAAAAAAAAATCACCTGAAGATACGGCTAAAAATACAAATTCAAGGGCCCCATCTTCACAGATTCTGACTCAGTAGGTATGATGGCATTTTTATAAAACTCATCCAACATAAACTAGTAGTTCCCAAACCAGACTTACAGTGTATCTCAGCCCTGCAAACTGCCTCATGTTCGAATATAGCATAATCTCAGTAAGGAGAAGCCCTACCTGAAGTGATAACAGAAATTAATAAAATACACTACTCCAGTCATACCCTTTTCCGCCCTTTATAAAGCAGAAAATAGAGCAAGTGAAATAAGTGTGGCCAGTATAAGGTATACCATATTTTAACACGGAATATGTTATGAGAAATCACCATAAGCTAGGTTTTCCTTTTATTTTTAAATATCTAGCTACAGATATAATTTTATTACAATTTACAAATATTTACATTCAACAAAGCATTCTTTCATAGTAGCAGCAGTCTCTAAAATTTCAAATATACTACTAACATATGGGACTCATTTCCTTGGCTGAAGCTAATATAAGATACCAAGAGAAAGTTTTTCTCAAAGGAATGACTTTACACACTGCATTTTTTTTCCCTTTATAATTCTGGCCATCCACTCTCCATACCTATGAACAAAGAGCTAAAGTAAAGCTAAAAATTCAAAGTAAAGTCTTAACACAAGAGATATGAAGTTGCTTGTCCTGACCAATTGCAGGAGACCCCCTGAAAGAGCTGGGCACAACTGCGTTCAAAGCATAATTTATCTCAGTTATATCAGTGCTGGTGTCTTTTTCATCACTTTTTGCTAAAAAAAAACCCAAAAACCTGCTGCCCTGCAAAAGAAAATGACTGCCTAACTGGTCTAGCAGCTGCATGACTCTATCCACAATTATTTTTAAATTAATTTTTAATAAATATGAACTACATATTAGATTATATGCATTTGATATTCCCACAATGTGTCATGGATGTCTAGAGTGGGAATTTACAAATCTCACAGAATATGCATCTGCTGTGGAGTATTCATTTTGCCCAAAATGCCACCTGACTAGCAGGATATCTTCCTTAAGAACACAAGCAGTGCCCAAGAGAGCTTATTCCCTGGCCACAAGTATTTTTAAAGGCTATTTCTTTTCCAGTAAGGTCTCTTTTTAAACAAGTCATGTAGAACAGTGCTCTGAAAGTGCCAAAAAGTACGAACTTCCAAACTATCTTCTTTGGCAAAATCGAATCAATATATCAGCAACCATCAAGGAAAATACACAGATAGCCAAACAAAAGGTTATCGTGACATGCTTTGACTAGCCAATTCACAGAGCAGAAGAAAAGCAGTATTCTTGGAGAGAAATGTACTATAAATGAAATCTCTTGGCCATGAACCAAAGGAAAGGAGAAAAGAGAAAGGAAGAGACTGGGTGGCATGACAGACACCTGCAGAAGAAGCAACAGGTGTTCTCTGAGCAGAGAAGAGAGCCAGAAGTCAAGAAGACAAAAACTGTTTTGAAATTTGAGGGGACTGAAATAAAAATAAATCAGATCTCAATAACACTTGGGGGGGGGAGGGCAGGGGCTTTTAAACCTGTTGCATGCAGGGGAAATGCAGCAGCTTAAAACTTCTAGCAACCAAAACTAGGGGAATTAATTTGTTGCACATAGTATAGAGTAACCTATAGGGCCAAACCGCCAAATACAGATTTTTAGAAATTCATCTAAATATGGAAAGGCTGAGTTTACATGCCAGAGATGAATTTCTGAAATACAACAAAAAACTTTTTTTCAACAGTTTACTCATGTAAAGGGCTGGTAAGTGTTTGCATAGATAATTTTGATGTAAACTTTGCTATTCTGATTCTCTCTGCATGTGATGGAAGAGTCACCAAGGCTGAATTTCTTCAAGGTCACACCCTTTAACTATCCTCATTTTAATATGCAGTACAAGCCAAAGGAGGAAATGGACATTTCAGTATTTTTAATGCAGCCAAGTTGGTTTTGAAAAATTAAAGAGGCTTTAAGTTGTTTCCAGAGTTCAAATAACTTTTAGAGTCCCAAGTAGCTGATAAACTATCTAAAACAGATGTGACAACTGAACACAATGAATCTGAAACCAAAGGAAATAAAGAACTCTGTTAATTTATTTTTTAAACAATTTATTCAGATTCAAACTAGTCATATAGATTAAACAGCAACCAGAGACTGCACACATTCTCCATTGCATAAACCCAACTGAGTAAAAAGGAATTACATATTTTTAGGAATAAGCTATTTAAAGGAAAAAGTCACAATTTTAGAACAGGATCTTAGATCTAGTGCATATGAACCACACCTCCAGTTCTGAGTCTGCATTAGAAGCAGTCCTTAGATGTCTCTAAATTTCCACACATCTTCTTATCAGTCCGGTTCGAATGCAACACCCTCATTCCTCTTTTCTACTTTTTTCCACCATCCTCCATACTGTGTAAATTTTACTTTTTGTTTTGTCTTTTTCTACAAGAATACAAACTCCACATAAGGAGGTTTGGGGAGGGGCATTTTGTTCACCACAGAATTGCCAACACCTAGTAAAGCATCTGTCCTATGACATATGCTTAGTAAATACTTACAACAGAATGAATGAATAAATGTCTACCCAAAACTAAACAGATTATCAGCTTTTTAAAGGCAGCCCCAATTCCTTTTTAATTTCTGTGCTCTCTCCCATTTTTAAAGGACACAATTCATGCTCGATACATGTTAAATTAACCAACCATTTGCCTATACCCTAGCATAGGAAAATAGAATATACTGTTTAGAATTTCATTTTCTATAAGGCCGATGGTGAGTGCACATCAGTAGAAAAGAGTGATGAAAGGTGCCTCCTCTCTATTCTCATAATAACTGAAAAAGTTTTTTGTTCTTGTTTTTGTTCTTTTTTATGTAAATAACTGGGCCAAACACCAGGTTTTACATAGGCAGCTTTTTCACTGTAAAGTGAGATACATAAGAAATTAATTATAACTAGCAAGGAAAAAAAAAACCACAGCAAACTATAAATTTATGTATAGTCTTACAGATCTCATTTACAGATACAAAAGTAACAATTTCAGTGAGGCTCATTTATTCTAGGGATATATCCCCAAATTCTACTCTTTTAAGTAGTGCTAAACTTAGTACTGCTTATTGCATAGGAAAATAAAAGACTAATTACCTAACAAGTGCCGATGTTTTCATCTCTCATCAAATAAAATCTCTGGTGAATGGGGAGTTTTACTGTCCTAGAGTGGTTCCAGCCACTTATCTAGAGCAATGGACCGCCAGAAAGTTTTACTTCTCAGAAAAATCTTGAAATCCATATGTACATCAAGCTTTGATTACTGGACCCATTTTAATTATTTTATAACCATACAGATAATGTGATTAATATAATTTAAAAATAATTTAGAAGTACTACTGGACTCACAGTGCTCTGTCATTTCCTCAATCGTAGATGTTAGAATATACAACTTCTCTGACACGAGAGGGACCACAAAATTAACTGATATTAAAAAGGAATCCTCACATTCCAAATGGGAACAACTGCCCTAGAGTTTCCACATCATTCAACATGTGATCTTTCACTTTCAGAGATAACATTACTTAATGGATAAACAGGCATTTTCCCCATGCTGGAACTTACACCTAATTGGCAGTATGGGGAAGAAGTGATTTGGGTTTGAGTCTTGACTGCTCTAGTGGTTAGATTTTAAACCAGAAACAAGACACTTCACTTTCTATAAGCTTCAATTTCCTCACATAAAATGAGGATGAATTCACCTCCGCGAACCACTTCATTAAGAACTGTTACAAGACAAAATCAGAATGAAAGTTACATTAATAAAGTATGATGCAAATATTAAACTATATAATAGAAGGCATGGAGGCAATGTGTGGCTGAAAGGGTTAAGTTCAGACTTGACCTTAAAGGGACCTGAATGCTAAATAAGCTAAAGAGTTTTTAGATTTGACTCCACAGGAAATAAGAACCATCAGAGGATTTACCGAGGCAGGCTGGGTGGTAGTGGCCGGTGTATATGTGAAAATCAATGAAGTAATGTGCCTTCAGAGAAATCTAATGGTTTTGTGAAATTCACTTGTGAAAGGATGGCCAGGAGTGTAAAGAACTAGAGGTTATTTTGTAATAATCAAAATGAAAGCTAAAAACTTGGGACCACAGCACTGACAGTAAAATAAAAAAACAGGTGGACTGACTTCAGTCTGTGAAAGTATCTGAGAGTGAGGGGAAGGAAAGAAATTTAACACGAGCAGATAGGTCGACAGTAACCCAAGAAAAAAAATTCTTTTTTCTTTGTTTTATTTTGTTATTAGAAAAGAATGAGTGTAGATGTGTTAAATTTGGGGCATCTGGAGGTATGTCAGTAGAGACTTTCAGCAAGGGTGTGAAATTAAACCTCAGAAAGAAGAGATTGTGCATGGAGCTGTAGATCGTGGAGTCAGCAATTTAAAATGGTCAAAGACTTTAAAGAGTGAGAAGAATAAGGGAGCACTGAATAAAGAACCTGGAGGACACCAAAATCAGGCGAGCAAGCAGGAGTAAAACCAGGGAAGGAGAATAAAAAAGAATATGAGATAAGATGATAGAATTAACTTACAAAGTCAGTTTCTAACTTATAGAAATATTAAAGATGAAATTCAAATGATGCTTAAGTTTGACATTTGATTTAGAATTAAAAACTCAGAAGAGCTCAGAGAACACTTTTGACTTGGTTTCATGTTTAGTGAAATATTATTTTCCTCTGATGAAAAATCTGAGTTCCCAGAGCAAGCCTTCAACATTCCCTAAGGCAGAGTTTCTGAGTTGGTGAGTCGTGTTCTTCCTTCACAGGCCTTCAACAAGCTCAGATGAAGTGACGCGGAAGAACAGGTGGAAGGTGACAAGCGGGTCCTGAAACCCTACTGACTTTCAGCAGTAACAGTCAGAAATGATGCTGATAAACCAGAAGGCAACAAAAGAAAGTGAGGATCACTTCCTGGAGAGAAGGAAGACATTTGCTTTGGTTTATGATTACAGTCTACAGATCTTGGAGGCCTAGAGGTCACAGTAATATACACCTCTTCACCTTATTTTATGATAAAAATGAGCCCCCAATATCTTAATTTTCTGCTCACATGAAAACTTTAGAACTCAGGGAGTCAGTTTCCATTTAATTCAACGCTTTAAAACAATTCTCTGTATCTGTAGCACAATACAATAACTGACTTCCACCTGTACTTCTACATAGCCAAGAGAAGATTAAGCTTTTTGGTATACTCTACTTAAAACAATAATGAAATATGATTTTCCTCAAAAGTGGCATATTTTAGCACTTAACATGTTGAATTTTAGGTTATTTGAGAAATTTGATTATCCAGAACACCACATTACCCAGAAATGCTACACAGAGTTGGGCATTAAGTCTTATCATTTTGCTACTAGTAACTCATTTACGCATCTTACCAAGCCAGAAATCTGGAATTCATCCTAGAGTCTCCTGTTCTCTAACCTCCAAAGATTAATCATTCACCACAGTTAAACAGTTCTCAGAAATGTTCCTTTACCACTGTTATCCCTCATCCAAGTTTTAAGCCTTTAACGAAACTGACTGTGCCTCAAATTATAATGATCAGATTCGGGGCTGACGTCTAGATAGTTACTGTCTTGTAACACATACTGCCCTTGCAGTTCTAAAAGGCTGCAAAAGATAGCATGCCAATGGAAATCAAAGAAGTGCTACATCTAACAAAGCACCTGCCTCTTCACAATGTCATTCTATCATCATCTTATCTAGAAAATGTGCCTCCAGTTATTCCAAAATGCTAAGTCCTCCCACAACCCATGGGCCTGGGTTAGCTTTCCATACCTTTTTTCTGCTTAACACATATGGATAAGAAACAGACTTTAAGTTCCTGGAAGTACAAAAGCAAAGCCTTAATCTCAATAAAGTAGAATGTTCATATGATCTTGATTATATTACATGTAAGATAAAGGCATAAATCTATTCACATAATTATAATGAATTTCTTTTAAAAGTTTTTACTTAGTCAAAAATCACTAATTTAGCATTTTTCTATAAATCTAAAAATTTCTTAAAAGCAAGGCAGTTACCTGAGGAGAGTCAAAAGGATATCGACTACTAAACTTAAATAGAAGTTGAAATTTTTCCCCTTCATATAAGGTACCTGGTGCACCTTCCATGTCTACAATCCACCTAGAATAGAAAAAATAAATAAATAAACTTCAGTTAAAAAGGATTGGGGTGAGCAGGAGAAAAAAGAAAGTCAAGAATTCCACAATGGCAGGCAGTGGGACAGGAGTCATTCACGTTCACCCTCCCAATAATTGTAATAGTAGGCCCTATTCCCCGCTCTGACATTCTAGGGTTAAATAACTAGATCAAAGTCAGACAGCTAGCAAAGGAAAGAGGCAAATTTTAGGCCAGAATTGAAAAAACCAAACCCAACTCTGGTGTGCTGACACCAAAGCCTGCACTCTTCCTATTAATTTATGCTATCTTATTTTTTCAGACTATCTCTACAATGATGGAAAAGATTTTATAGATAATATCAAACTAATCAACTGCCTTTCTGACATCAATTATTTTAGAAGCTATGAGAGAAGATGATCTCAGCAATGACTACAGAAAACTGTAGCTGTCAGACCAATTTTCTCATCAGTATGCCAGGGAAGGCTAAACAGGAAAAAGGAAACTAAACTGACATCAGTCCACTTACTCTGATGGCTACCCAAGGATCTATAAGGCCTTTTCTTTGTCTCTCATTATATTTAGACTGTTTAATAAAACCCAAAACAGATTTCTATGGCATTACTCTGTTTTCATATATAACAAATCACAAGTATAAATCTGTTTATAATTATATTCTATATACTATCTCTTGTTCCTTTAAATCAAAAGTGGGGGTAGAGAAATAAGAGATTATTATGGCAAAGATGACGGGGCAGAATTTAGAAACAAAATGAGTTCCTAATTATAGCTATGCCACTTAAAATTTTTGTATACTTGGGCAATTCCTTTCATCTCATACTTTTCAAGTATAAAAATTTATTATTTTAAATAAAGGGAAATAAAAGAACAAGATTACAGTATTAGGGTTCTATTCAGCACCCCACATACTATGGACTTAGGAGTAATGTAAAATAATAAATGTCCCTACTTTCTGACAGCTATCAATTAACACATACAGACCCTTAACAGCATGGCTATTCATTTTCAGAATGCATGCTAAATACTTATGTGGTAATAAAAGGTAAGGCCACAGATCCAAGAGGCAATATTTTACAGTAAAATTAAACAGGTCTGACCCTCAACTAGCTGTATGGCCATGAGAAAGCTGTTTAACTTCTCCTGTTTTAAGTATTTTATTGTAAAATAGATATTTTAAAAAAATTATCTGTTAAAGTTTAAAAAAAAAAAAGGTAGTCACCTCAAAGTGTTGTTGGAAAAGATAAACAACATTACATATTAAAAAAAACTAGCACATTCTTGACATCAGAGCCAGTACACAGTAAATTTACTACAATGCAAAAATTGCATTTAAAAACACAAAACTGAAAACCTAGTCTCTTTAAAACTAGGTCCTTCCTCCTAATCAAACTTACAAGCTTTTGCATAGCAAAGGAAACCATAAACAAAACAAAAAAAACAACCTAAGGACTGGGACAAAATATCTGCAAATGTATATTTTGGAAATTAAGCCCTGTTGGTCTTAATTTCCAAAATATACAAACAGATCACACAGCTCAATAGTAGGGGGGAAAAAATTTAAAAAAAAGGGGGGGGCAGAAGGCCTAAAGAGATATTTCTCCAAAGACGACACACAGATGGCCAACAGGCACATGAAAAGATTCTCCACATCAGTAATTAATAGAGAAATGCAAATCAAAATTACAATGAAGTATCACTTCACACCTGTCAGAATGGCCATCATCAAAATGTCTACAAGTAATTTTTGCCTTACATGGTAACTATGGACTATAACCTAGGAGTGCCATCTCACTGTACTACATTGAGAAACCACTTCTCTGTTTAATTAGTTTTTAATCTTTCTATGTTTCTGCTCCTACCTTAGAAAGAAATTAATCTTTCTGTATCTCTTTCTACCTTAGGATGGCATAGAGGTTTATTTATTAGGTCAAAGAATATGATACTCGTATTTTTTTAAGGTGTTAATACATGCTACCAAACTGTCTTCCACAAAGTTTAATGTGCTTTCATCATCTTCCTTACCCATATCTCCATCCCATATAATCCCACTCAAACAACTCTTTTAAGATCTGATTTTTGTAAGATTATTTTTATATCTTGGAAGATGGTCCAAAAATAATAAAAATCTTTGTGGTTCACTTACAATAAATCATTTTAAAAGAAAAATCCCTGCCTGACAAAATCTCAAAGTGACAGGTTTATTCTGTAGCGAAGATATTATTTTGGTAGTTATAATTTGTGGTAGAACTATCTATAAAAAGTTTCTATTTTTAAAAACATAAAAGTCTTTCAAGTTTTTATAAATCATTGTGTTCTGTAGTTTCTTCCCACTCCCAAAAACGAAAAGGCTGAAAGTAGAAGCGATTGTTATCAATTTCCTTGAAAACTATAGGGCTGCTGTCATAGAATATTCTATGGCAGGTTAACAAAAGGAGAAAGGGAAAAGATGAAAGTGGAGTATAATCCATTTGTTTAATGATATAGATCAAAAAACAGTCACTTGTTTAATTATATAGAACAAATTCTTGACACTCTAAATGTGTGCTCCATTTTCAAAATCTGTTTTAAATAAATGAAAAGTCAATTGAGAGCCATAAAAAGACATGGAAGAACCTTAAATGCTTATTATTAAGTGAAAGAAGCCAATCTGAAAAGGCTACATACTGTGTCATCCCAACTATATAAAACTCTAGAAAAGGGAAAATTATGGAGATAGTAAAAAGATGAGTGGTTGCCAGAGGTTTGTGGGGAGTGAAGGGAAAGATAAATGGAGAAGCACAGAGAATTTTTAGGGCAGTGAAAATACTGTAAACACCATAAAGATGATACATGTCACTACACATTTGTTCAAATTCACAGAATGTACAACACCAAGAGTGAACTGTAATTTAAGTTATAGACTTTGAGTGATTATGACATGTCAGTGCAGGGTCATCAGTCGTAACAAATGTACCACTCTGGTGGGGGATGTTGATAAAGACAGAGGCTATGGCATGTGTGGGAGCAGAGGGTGTATGGGAAATCTCTGTACCTTCTGCTCAGTTTTGCAGTGAATCTATAACTGCTCAATCAAGAACCCAGAAATGTTTTAAAGAGATAGTAACAGAGCTAGGGATACATACTACATTTTCAAACATCAGTATATCCGTTCAAATACCAACATATCCTTTCTTCATATTCCTGTTCTCAAAGCTTGTCTCCTGTCTTAAGTACTGATCCAAATGACAAAGTCAAAGGTTAGCCAAAATTGTTTCTTCTGAAAATGAGTGTGTCCCTGTTGTGTGAATTTTGGTTACTTTCACTCTCTGGATCTAGAATATTACCATTTGACCTGTTCTATTTGTCCTACAAGTTTGTCTATAGTAACTTGTATCTTGTTGGCTTCTATCCCTTCTACATTTTTGGAGATTTTTTTTTTAAAGGAGTGAGTCAATTATTTTAAAATTTAAAATTTCCTATTTTAGAACATTGTCTTGTCTAACAGAATTGTTAAATCAAAGGAGTGGGTTGTGAAATCTTAGGATGTTAACTCTTGAAAAAATTTCAAACTAATTCAAATGCTCATTTTTAAAAGAGGGTACCTGTATCTATCTATCCTTCTTGGCACATGTTTGAGAAGAGACTCCTGCTCCACTCCTGAGGAAGGAGCTGAATTAGAGAATAATCAATGTCCTTCTTCTACCCCTCACTTCTTCATCCTCATGGAAAAGTTTCTTATCTATTAAATGAAAATTCTGAGACTGACATTCATTTAGCTACTCTCCTGTAAAGAAAGCAACTAGTATGTTCAGGGGGCAGGAATGGAGATAGCTCTTCACTATTATTCTCTTCAGAGCCTCAAATGTTTTTGAAAAATCTGATAAATAACCTCATACCAAACTGCCCTATTACAGATGAAGACCATTTCATAAAAGAGTCAGCCTAAAATTTTTAAATGCTGCCTCATTAGCAGGAAACTTTCATAAAACAAAACTGTGTATATATATGCATAGAAAAAGATCTGTTTACTCTATCTATATCTTGGTGGAAGAAAATGGGATAAAATGTAAAAATTATTCTGTTTTAAAAAAAGAGTATTCATACATTATATTGATAATAAAAGAAAACAAATAGTTTAAAATTTAAACACTTACTGTGTAATTGAATTTTGAACACTCTTTTCATTTAAAGTCATTCCGGGAGGTGGGTCATTTTGCAAAGCCAACAGTTCTTTCTGTAGTCGTTTCTAGAAAAGAATATCAATAATTTATACTTTCTTTTTACAACATAATATCCTTCTAGTTACACCATCTGAAATCGTTGATTAGATTTCCTCCAAATGCTCACACCTTTTCTTTTAAAAGCTTCTTAACATTTTCTATATATTTTATATGCCTAATTCTCAGATTTTCAATTGCCTGTTCTATAACTCACAATCCATTGTCAAAATATTTCTAAATATATTTGTAAACATTGATGCTGTAAAGTGGTTATGAAGAAAAGACAGCTACCTATGAAACTTCATAACTATTCCATTAAAGTTATTAAGGTCTCAGCATTGATTATAAATTCCTAATAGTTCTAGTAATGCTTGCTTTATGCTTTTCAATTATAAAAACCATAAGTCTCCATAATCCTTAAATAATGTATCATTCTAGGCAGATAAGCTTTCCAGAAGAACTATATAAATTACCTTTCACGCAAAAAGCCTTTTGAAAAAGTTTTAATAATTTTAGTTTACAACTTACAGCCCCTATTTGTTTTCTTAAAATAGGATCATCCACAGATAATCTAATCTTTCAATACCAGAATACAACATATTTGGGCCTAAGATATATAAAGTTATTTTTTCACATACTATATACCCCCAAGTGGCTATGTATTTGCTTTCTTGTTTGTACAGCTTTTATTGTTCAATTCTTCCCTTATCAACAGTGGACATTCCTTTTCAGCATACAACAAAGCAAAACAAAAACCACAGCAGCCCATAATATATGGGTTTAAAACTCAACGGAATGTTATTAAAATTCTTAATGAATTAAGATTCTTAATGAACATCTTTTCTTAGATCAAAGCATACAGGCATGGATTTCTGTTCAGAACTCCAAACAACTCTCTGCTTAATAGCTAGTTTCTGCTTTTTATAGACAATGAAATATTACTATCAGTATAGCAATGTTTCTAGATTTTTTTTCAATTCATAACACCTTTAAATAAGCCTACCATCATCCAACACTACTACTACAGATTAGAAAACGCCTCCCTTCTTTGTTGACAATCAATGCAACAGCTTTAATAAATGGCCCTCCAAATTGCCAAAAATGAAAAATTTTCCTCAGATCTTGCAATATCTTAATTGCCAGTAAAAATGAAAATAAAATATCAACTATTTGTAATTTCTGACTGCAGTTGCCTCCTAAAATGCAAAATTACAAATTAAAAATTAGTTAAGAAAAATTTTAATTATTCAAAATTTAGAAATAAAGCTGCATAAACTGTTTGAATTAAGAAATACATTTGTGATAAGTGTCTATATTAGAAGAGGGTTTTACACGTTAACAAACATGCATTCTGTTAATTTTCAAAAACACCGGTTCAACGACAACAAAGACTTCTTTAAAAGCTGGAATTCTCAGAGATTTCTGATATACTAACTTGCACAAGGATTCTCTGAGGGGAGGAAGATAATATACAGGTTTCCAAAAGTAACGGACTCTTCCCAGTGTAGGGTATACTGGAAAAATCTTGTTTCAGTGATCACATGTTGGGAAACACTGCTGTGGAAATCCTCCAGATCTTAAGAACTTCACTAAGACAGGGAAGACAGCCCTTGTTACTGAATCCAGGTATAAAAGAAAGTCAATTTGCATAGTTAGCAATTGAAACATGATATAAAGGCAAGCTAAGAAGAACTGTATTGGTGTAATTATCCCAAGGTCTCCTGAACGTAACTTGTGAAGGGTGGTGTAGAAAAAGAAATGTTTTCCCCACCCTGACACTACATGTCCACAGAGGAAGAGGTCTGTGGTAGCCAAACCCCAGGAGAATCTCCAAGTAACTGCTTCCTAAATATTCACATCCTTGTGTAGTTCCTCCCACACTGTACCAGAGCTGGTCTGTGTGACCAACAGAATGCAGCAGAAATGATGGCATGTCACTCCCAAGATTAGGTAATAAAAGATTATGATTTACTTCTTGGCCATTCTCTCTAGAATCACTTGCCATACTGTGAACAGCCCAACTCAGAGGCCCATGCGGTAAGGTGAGGGCCTCCAGCCAATAATCATGTATGATTTGGATGAATCTCCCATCTGGAATCTCCAATTCTGGCCAAGCTTTCAGATGACTATAGCCCTGGCCAATATTTTGACTGCAAACTCAAGCCAGAACCATCCAGCTTTCTGATTCCAGACGTGTGGAATTACATGGGATTATAAATGTTTATTCTTTTAAATTACTAAATTTGGGGGTAATCTGTCATACAGCAATAGATGGTTAATACAGGACCTCTGCTCCAACCTCTCCCCATTAGGAGGGGCTACCATCCACTTCTTCATTTCAGTTTCAGTATCAGATCAGAATCCAAGACATTCACTAGAGCATGTTTTTTAACTGAGGAGGTGGAGTCACTACATTAGACAATTCATGCCAGTCTCTTACTGTTTCAGCTACCAGGCAATAAAATACCTTGCATATCCACATCTCCTGCAATAAAGAGATAGAGCAGGACTAACATTTTGGGGGTTATGAGTACTTAATAAACCCACTAATAAAAGTGATAATTCACCCATATACTTATAAAACTCACAAAATAAGATAAGAGTAGAAGGTCAGTGTATATGGCAGGCTCCTAAAAACAAGAAATTCACTCTTAAATATATCCTTCCTGGAACAGTAATTCAGTAGAGAGGGCAGGAAGTGTCTTTAAGTAAGCAATCAGGTTCTTCAAGGGTCCTCTGGCTCTTCTAAGAAACTGGTTCTAAGTTTCCTGAGTATAAACACAGAAGCTAAGAAAAGAAAGACTTAACAAGTTCGATGTGAAAATAAATGAAAACTCATACTCACCTAAGAATGTGAAGAACTAGTGTTAACTGTTTAGAGATCATACCATGTAGCATCTATCAACAGAATGCTACTATCACATGAGGAGGCATTCGCCTCCTAACTCTGAAGACAAAGTGTTACAAAACTAGATGAGAGACACTACTAGGGCAGAACACTAGCAAAAGCAGAGATACCGCAGCTTTTTAGACCATCACAGCAACACCAGCTGTCCCAGACAGCAGTGAAAATGGCTGCCTCAGACTGAGATAACTGGAGGTGAAAACAACTGCAGAAGGTAACTACTGTAACTAAAGAAGCAAAACTACCCCAAAACCTTTGGAAGCTGAGGGGGCTGACAATTAAGAGTTCAAATGGTCCCTAGCTAAATACCACCCATGTCTGCCCCTAAATTAGAGAGGTAGGGGAGAACTAATTACATATGTTACCCACCATGGTTCTCTGAATCTAAGACACACCATCAATCATAGTCTTATGATTTTATGTAACAGTAGGAACTAAAACTGCTGCCAATTAAACAATGACACACCACTGACAACACATATCTTGATTTCAGATATGCTAAAATATGAAAAAATGCACATTTAAAAACCTATAATATGCTATTAATAAAAGTTTGATTTTCCTAATGCTTAAGTGCTAGAACTACTTGATAAATAAAAATTTAGTTTCTGAGTAAATGTAATAACTTAGGAAGATGCTTCTCTTAATATTTAACACCTATCCCATAATACATGATCTCAATCTGTATTATTTAAATATGCACTTTATTCCCAGAATTTGCATAGCAGTATACAGATATCTGTCCTCTGAGGCAAAAAGGCCAGGCCCAGAATCTAAATGTTCTGAAGCATCACAAGTCTAGGGTAAACCTGAAAACTCTATCTAGACCTCATCTTGTGTCGGCTCAAGTCTGGAAAACTCAGAAATTTGAGCTCTTTGAAGAGATCTAAGTGGGCTGGATCAGTAAGAAAGATTATGATATCTCTAAATACCATTAGAGAAATGATTAAACACTTTCAGAACTGGCCTGGCTCTCCGTGGCTCTATATAGTCCAGCCAGTATCTCCCTGTCTCTCCTTCCTCATGAATGTAAATGAATCAAAGTGATATGAATCCACTGTAGTTTATTATTTTTCTTGGCTAAGAAAACCACTGACAAATTGTGCAATTAACTACTATCAATGTTAACACTGAGAAACACCACAAAACTGAATGGCACCCTAGTATGTCACAATACAATGTATGATGAGTGACCTGCACTTGACAGTGACACTAGTTCAGTTCCTAAAACTTTCTCCCACTTCAACACACGTGAGGGATCATTCCTGAGATGTACTCTCCCCTGTGACCTGGGCTCACCACAGGGGTGGGAGGACAGTATTTCTGTAATATGAAAAGGCTGCCCAGCAGCTTAACATTTCCTCTTCACCACATCACCTCCCCAAGAATCAGTATAATAGCTGCTTCACATCAAAGGTCAAGTGTGAGGACGGAGACAAAAAGGTTACCATCATAAAACAGACACATATATTATTACTCTTAGCCTTATGAGACAACAATGAAATGTGTCTGTTCAGAATATGGGGGAGGGCAGTATAGCTCAGTGGTAGAGTGTGTGCCTAGCATGCATGAGGTCCTGGGTTCAACCCCCAGTACCTCCATTAAAATAAATAAAAACAGAATGGGTAGAGGGAAAAAGTCTCCTATGAAGCAGTCACAGTCTCAAGCAGACACCCACAAGGGTCTGAATCTGAATTCCTGCTAAGAACCTTAGGCAAGAATTTAATCAAGTGGTCAAGGAAGTAATGCCCCAGGCAACTGGCAGAAGCAAAAACATCTTGGAAGAATACAAGTTCTATCCACTGAGGCAACAAATTCTCTTTGAAAAATCTGGAAAGATAATTTAAAAATTAATAAAGACCAAATGCGAAATTATTCAGAGGACAATAGCATACAATACTTGCTGCAATAAAAATTTATACTGTATATATGTATTTACATGCAATACAATATGTATGTGCAGTCGAACTGTAATAATTCTACCTAATAAAACTGAAAAAAAATTAACTATGAAAAGGTATATGCATCCCTACGTTCACTGAAGCATTCCATACTTGGAAGCAACCTAAGCGTCCAACAAGAGAGGAACTAATAAAGAGGATGTGGTACACACAACACACA